TGAACAGCACCCTTTTATGGTATCCGGGTAGGGTTACGAAGTTCACAATCGCACCATCGAGTTTGGGCAGATAGTGCGATGACGATGAAGCGAAGGCACCGTGAAGCGGTAATGATGACGCGATGGCAATGATGTTATCGGTTAGATAGAATGTTCTATCGTTAAAATGATTTTGTCCTACGGACCCGGTTTAACGATAGAATTCGTTCCGTGTATTCGTAATGTAGCAAAAAGAATAACCCGCATAGTGCATTTACTAGGAACAATCTAGAGAGTTCCGAATGTAAACATTTGAATGGAGAGAAAAACGTTGGGAAAATTAATTGGATTTACGTATTTATATGGATTATTTTTTGGGATAAAAGGCATAAGCAATCTCAAAAAGGTTTGTTTTGATTAATTTATAAGTTATTTTCTGTGCAAATCCGTTTGTATCCTTCAAAATCGTTTCGTTGCGATTCTGCAATTTTTTGCTACATTACGAGTATATGGGTGGTATTCTAACTGTGGTGAGGGCTTGTACCGAGACACAGTTAGATTATTCTAACTAGTTATCGGTATAAACAATATACGAATATTTATATGGAGACGCCATGATAAAAGTTATGTAAAAACTCGTTTTGAAAATTTTGACAATGATTTTTGAAATTCTGCATTATATATTTCACAAGTTCATTAAATGTGAAAGTATATTACGATTTTTATAATATCTATTTTTAAAGATTTTTTTTCTGCCATTTGAAAAATACGCATAAGCCTTCCAGGTCTCTGACCAGTAGAGCTAAAAATCAGATGTCTTTCTAATAAAGATGGGAATGCAATTTGTCTACGAATGAATAGGCCCACCCTATAGAACAACCCTCGTACTTGTAATAATAAAATAAAAGTTTTTAAACTAGGATGGAAATTAATGGTGTACCACGTACAAATGACTAAATATAATTGGAAATGGGACTTTAATTTCATAAACTAAAATTGTCTTGTTGGAACAAACTGGATTTTGATGTCGATTCAATGGACTCTAATAAACGAGCATTAGAGTTGATGGCTTTGAAGGAGATAAATAAAGAACCCCCACGGTGATGGGGACTGGGGCCTTATGTTACATATATACATGTAGCTATTCTTTGTTCAGTGTTGTTTAGAGGGTGGTGTCATTCTGGGATTCACTGGTCTTGACAGAGCCACAACCACTGCCCTTGGATCTAAATTAAAAGCTTCATTACACCTGTTATATACTATCTATAATATCTGTTATGAAATCATGCATTGTAAACATTGTAAAAGAAGGATATAATTAGAAATACACATTTTGTCGGAGTGTATTTATTCCACTGAAGTAAACAATAATAATGTGTGTCCATTGAAAATTCAATATTTAGGCCTTCGTGGAAAGAAAAAATCCAAGAATAGGTACTGGTTTATAATCTATTGTCTGCATCTGAAAAGGGGATACAAATGTTCCATGACTTATTGAACTGTGTTGTTTATTTTTGGTCTTGTCCATTTATGTAGTAAACAAGTTGCTGTCCTTTAAAAAAAGGACTACAATACGTGGACCATATGCATGTGTTTCTAACCGAAATTTCAATTAATTAAAGAAAATTTCTACAATGATCTGCCTACTGTGACTGTTTTGGACTATTTTGATACATATAACCGATAATGGTTGTGACTTTACATATACTAGTATTCTAGATTTATTCAGAAGAGATCTATCATTGGAAAATTAGATCTGATGGTACACGTGTAGCACAGCTCTATTGTACGCAGATTTTGTTTTCTGAGCCCCCCTCCATCCATCACATGGAAAACTGTTGCTACAGACTTGTATCAAACTGTATTTGGATTCTTGTATATCAGATTATTTTGCGAGCCTTGATGCACAAAACTAATGCCGTTGGAGACTTGTTCTATCTTTTAAAACCTAGAACCCGTCGTTGAATGAAGTTTTTAATTCAAGTTGTAAAGTTGTCTTATATAATATATAATATATACATGTACTGCAAGTTCTTCCTACTTTTTAGAATGCTTGTGCCATAGAATGAATGTTTAGTTATGTGTATACATTAGAAATTTGGAATCCACCAATGAACTCTCAATCGCATCATCTTGGGTCTTTCCGTCAAAGATCTTAAAGCTAATCGGAAAAGCCGATTGGTGTAGCGGAATAAGCCGAGCATTGCCGATTGGAACTCTCTAGCATTCTCGCGCATGCGTAGCCTGGCGTATGCCGAGGGCATCCGGTTTAACCTCGTTTATATATTTACTGCGTGGACCTCAGGGTCCACGCAACAAACCGCGGGATCGGGAAACAAATTAGAAAAAATCATTTCTATAGTGATGTATGTCCACATACTGATATATACGATATGTTACTTAAAAGAATGAAATAAAATTTGTAGATAGAATTTCTGAAGTATTAGAAGGAGGTTAATTAAAATGCCAAACTTTATTTTATTCCATAAACGTTAGCACACCCATTCACACAATAGAACAATCCAAGGAATAGCTCACTGCGACATTTTTGGCGCGAAAAGAGCGATTCACCCCTTTCGTAGAGTATAAATGGACTGATCCAGTAATATAGAAATGCAGAAAAGGGGATACACGGACAGTCATGTTGAAACGGTGAATCACATGGAATAATTGTTCCATGCAGAAAGATTAAAGGAAGTTAACACTACAGTATTTTGCATCTTTTTTCTGAAAACTGTTTCTTTTCAAATTCAGGTAAAGAATTCCAATGTAAATCAGCTTGCACAAAATCTAGCTCTCTGGGTATGATCTGTTAGTTTCCGATTCGGATTTTGCAAATATCAATCCTTATACAGCCTGACACCGGGCAGTAAATTGCACACGTTATCATTGTGATATTCGTAGTAGAAACGAAACATACTCAGTATATTTATACAAACAAGATGTGTTTGTGAAACACTGATGCCCCCATATGGCAAGATAGCGAAGATGAAACTTTACTAAAATGCAAATTAAATATGTTGGCACCCAAAGTTTTAAAGGTCTTCTCACAAGAAATACAATTGTGAAATATGTAAGCCCTAGCTCACCTGTTCAAAAGGTATGGCCATGCAGGGATAAATTTTTGAAAGGTAGGTCAAACTCCAGAGTCAAGGTCAAATATGTTGGTTTCTAAAGAAAGGTCTTTTCACAAGGATTACATATGTGAAGTATGAAAGCCCTAGCCCTAATATTTCAAAAGTTACGACCATGGTTCAAGTTTTTAAAAAGTAGGTAAAACTCCAAGGTCAAGGACAAAGAATTAGAGTTGTTGGTATCCAGTGAAAGGTCATGTCACATGAATTACATATGTGAAGTACGAAAGCCCTAGCTCTAACCCTTCAAAAGTTATGGGCAAGAGAAATAGGTCAAACTCCAAGATCAAAGCTCTTGGTATCCAATGAAAGGTCTTCTCACAAGGGTTACATATTATGTGAAGTATGAAAGCACTGGCCCTTACCGTTCAAAAGTTATGGCCGAGGTTTAAGTTTTAAAAGTAACTCCAAGGTCAAGGTCAAAATTGTTGGTATTCAATGAAAGGTCTTGTCACAAAGAATACATAAGTGAGTATATGAAAGGCCTAGTAACTACTTTTCCTCTTAGAATCTATTCATCCAGGAAGGTTCATCAATACAGTAAGAATTTTACAATATAAACTTGACAAGTTCGATACATAACCATCTTTTTAAAATATGAAGATACAAATACATGTATAGAACTCTGTTCTTTAATACTTCGTATGGCAATATTATTAATCACTTGTTTAAAAAAAAAACACAAAAACAAGAATTTTTGAACATCAGAATGTTCCACTAACTACTTTACGTTAAGAAAAGTCCATATTCCTTGGCAATCTAAAAATTGGAATCGCACATATACTAGACAAAATTGCTAACGCACCACTTGTTAATTATAGTTACCTCACGCACAAGTTGCGTGAGGTATGACGTTTTTGACCCTTCCGTCAGTCAGTCATTCAGTCAGAGTGTCAGTCAGTCCTGTTTTTTTTTTTGTCAGCACAACTCCTCATAAACCGCTGCACAGATATATTCAAACTTTTCAGATATTTAGGACACAATGTGTAGATATGCATATTACTAGGAAATTCCGATTCCTTTTTTTCCGGGAATTTCGCACTTTTCAATTTAGATCTTTGGTCATACCTTGAATATAGAGATGAACAGTTTTGTCATTTTTGTTAACTCCTCATTAACAGCTGCACAGAATATTGTGAAACTTTGCACACATTTAATATGTGGATGTGCATCAGGAAATTCTGATTCCTTTATTTTTTCGGGATTTTCGGCACTTTGAATTTTGGGGGAGCTTGGGGTATGTGAGCTTGCTCACTTTTCCTTTCATTCTTATCTGTGAATTGAGCATTTGCCGGATCAGTACTAGTGTATATAATATGCCATTATTTCCAAAATGAATAAATAAATAAACAGTGGAATTGACAAATGTCTTGGTATGAAAAGACCCTTGAGTGACCTTCTTGACCGAAAACCAATTTCCGGATGTGAACTGTGCACCAGTTTTCCTAGATATGAAATTCTTGATCACTAAAAGGTGGTCTGTGTGGTTGCCACAATAGGTCCCCCCGTTATCTTGGTGAAAATTCAAATAAAGTCATTGACTATCATATCTCCTAGTAATCATAAGGTGCACTAGTGTCCATACCAAATCCACTCAACTTCCGGTTGACCCAGTGTTGTGAAACTTTTCAACTTATTGTATGCTGCTAACTTAATGCCGTGGCTATCTATAGTAAACATTTTAATGTTTGTTAAATAAATCTTTTTGCAAAAATTTTTCATTAGAGGAATTCATAATCTCTTTGTTGCTTTCATTTTTTACAGATTTCTCTAAAGGAACCCCATGCAGACGTCATACTGTCTGCTTTAGCACGCTCTTCTAGCGTCAAACGCCGCGTACGGTTTATCTTATTCTCTAAGTTTTTAATATGTAAAAATGTAAAGAACACAAATAGATTTTTTCTTGGAAAATGGAAAATACATAATTTAATTTTTTTTCTATAATGAGCCAAGCGTTTTACCATATTTGGCCATAACAACTTAAGGTCAGACGATACGTTCCCCAAATATCTGTTTTGTACATTTTCATAAAGTATGAAAAATATACAAAATTTTAATAACTTTATGATTTCTAAAGTGGTTTCTAATTGTTTTTTTTTTTAATTTGAAACACTAAAAATGTGATTTTGGCAAACTAATTTTTTTCTCTAAAGGGTTATTTAAGAAATGCCATCCTCTTGTATCTCGCACAAATGCCCGGTAAGGTACCTCAATTTTTGTGAGTAAACATGTTAAAATAGTAATTGTTCAATGACAAAATCTTGGAAAAAATTATATATATTATAGAGGAACGTCTCGTCTGTCCTTAAAGTTGAAAGATACCTTTTTCTAATGTGTGACATCTTTCCTACCCAAGAAATATCAGCTGACGAAGTTTAATTATTCAAAAGCCTCATGGTATTTATTCTATGATTCATCTCACCTAAGATGGGCATATCAAATTTTTTTTATCTACAAACGTTTGCCCAAAGTTTAGTTGAAATAAGCTCAGTCACAATACAGAAATAAACCCCCATTAGAGCCTGTGGGTTTGAAAACATTAGGCTATGGACTACAATGCTCACCAGAACAATCTCTTCATCACATCAATGACAATGCAGAATAACATTATAATATTGTGCCAGTTTTGATTATCACTGATCAAATAAAAATTTGAAATATTAACATTTGCAAAACAATGAAAAATAGATAAAATACTAGTCTTGTGGAAAATTTTCATCCTACTTCATTATTTTATTAACAGAGATATAAAATCTAAAGGTTTCAATCTGAATCACATACAAGTTTTCATACTGCCAACGTTTAAATAAAACTTCCAATAAGAAACTCTTGCTTCTGTACATGTAATTTGAAAATTTAATGTCATTTCTTTTATGAATTTAATGACAGATGATACATACATTATTTATCAAACATAGGTAATCAGAGATTACAGAGCTCACCTCAACGAATGTTGTCTTAATTTAGGCAAAGTCCCACAATTAACCAACATTCTAGAAGTTAAGATCCCAAAAAGCAAAATTTATGTAATTTTGATCTGATAAAGCATGCAGTTTCTTAGAAATAGACCTATCCAAAAACTTCAAACTAGTGGCCTATCAAGAAAATGTAATTCAAATCCAGCATCTGAAGCAAGTTTGAGAGTGTTCATCTCTTGACGCATCATTTATGAAAATTTGGTTAATATAAGCCTTATAGTTTCTTGGTGTTAAAACTTGAACCCATAACTTTTACCTGGTCCATTATCTGGAAAATGTATGTGGGATCCAGCATCCGAAGCAAATCTATCAGTGTGCATTCTTTGATGTTTCATCTATGCAAGTTTGGTCATCACAGGGCTCATAGTTACATGGAAATGGGACCTGAACCCAAACATTAACCTGTTCACTCATCCGGAAAATGTAAGTCAGATCCAGCATCCGAAGCAAGTCTGGTAGTGTGCATCCTTAGATGTATCATCCATGCAAGTTTGGCCATCATAGGGCTTATAGTTAATTGGAAATAAGACCTAGACCACAAACTGTACCAAAAATGTTAACCTGCTCCAAAAACATTAACCTGGTCATTTCTTTGCTGCAAATTCAGCACCTGAAACCTCATCTGGTACAATGAAACACGGTAGAAGCATGTTCCATGCATCTATGATCAATATGGGGCATACAACTACTTACAAAGAAAAATAGCTACAAAAACGTTAATTTGGACGCTGACACCGATGCTGAGGGTATCACATGAGTTCCCCCAACTTCATTGAGGTGAGCTAAAAATCTTAAAAATATCAACTTTGGTTGTGTTTACACATGTATCTGCATAGTTTTTAATTTTTTCATTCAGATTTTCACAATAATGGGATTGTAGTGACAATCAATTGTTAAAAATAGTATAATGCTAGCTGTAGAAAGTGAAATTTTGGAAATCTTTGACTCACAGCATATCTTACTATAAAAAAAATATAATTTTTTGCCTTAATCACAAGCAAAATAGGTCATAAAATTTACACCAATACGTAGTACTGCGAGTACCTCACAGTTAAAGTATCTAACTTGCTGCCGCTCTTTTGCGTGAGAGTCAAGAAAGCTCCAAATCTTGTGAGATTTCTGGAGCATAACATTGTTTACAGTAGTGACAATCAAATGATTCAAACAATTATTCTGCCATAAATACAATGTATTGCCAAGGGTTGAAATCCAAATAGTAGATTGCAAAATAAAGTACTTGACCAGCTTTCAAAATCAACGATTTTCAATGAAAATTAAATGAGAAGAGTCCGCTTAGTAAAAAGTACGAAAAAAATGTATCATCTGAGGACTAGCTCCTCTCAAACATTTATTAGGCTGGTTCAGCGAAAGGAGATGGGTGAACATGACGAGAAAATTATATCAAAATTTTCCTTAATATTTCATCTAACATTAAAGTATACGTTATGTAAAATCTCTACAACTTGCGCAAATCTCATGAAGATTGGAGTTATTTGCCTTTGTAATATTATACAAGGGAAAGAGGACAAAACGAGTCATTTTTTACACTATTATAACATTAGTTTTCGATATGAGTGGGTCTTCTCTCCATTTTTTGGAAAGTTCGTCCTCAAAGTTTGCATAGTTTACAAGCATACAAATTTTGGTTTCCAAAATTATGGAGCAAAGACCCACTATACCTAAACCTTTATGACATGACTTCCGTATCTTTTCGAGAAATACTTGAAGTACACTAAGTCAATGGTCATATAACAAACATGATTTAAATGCCATCCTTCCTCAGGACTTGTGTAGCGTAGTGGTTAGCGTGCTAGACTCAACAGAGAATGCTACTGATGAATTTATTGCCAGGGTTCGAACCCAATTGATACCCCATTATTTTTTTTATATAAAATAAATTTTAACGAAAAATTTTTCTCAAAACTTTTTGTTAATCATGATTTCATAAAATTCAATAATGAGAACCTTAATTAGTCTAAATACTTAATGCACAATTTGAATATATGACTTTTATGTATCTGAAACTATTGTGGTTTCTGCACGCTAAGTTCGCCCATCTCCTTTCAACAGGATTTATTTCTTATCTGCCTTCACAAACTCCACAATGATCGATCTTGCATTGTATTCAATAGCACATAGTCCCCATCCAATAGACGTTTTCTACCTTTACCACTAGAGACTTCCACTAAGTTAAGCAATCGCCATATCAAGTACCGTATTGCGGGTTATTTTAGATGGGTGCTAATTTTGGCTTATTTAGGCGTTCTGATGGTAGCCTGCTAAAATTTTAATCCCTAAAATAGTCAGTTTTTAGTGTTTATCTGTAAAGAGCTGGAACTCCGTGTCAGCTAAAATAAATAACACCAAAATTAGCATGATTAGTGCATACCTTTGAGCAGGCAAAACGCCAAATTTTACACTGGCAAAGAAAACCCAGTACTATATGATATTAAGATATATCTTTTTAAATGTTTATATTATCGATCCTTTATTGTTTTGAAGAAAAGAATGTTGCAAAGAACTCGTTTATAAAACAAGAAAACAAAACTTAAGCAAAGTCCGTTTACTTTGTGTGAAGTCTATTATGATATACTCAACCTTTAATATATAAAAAATGGGAAAGACAACGTCATCTTTTGAAGTTTTTCCCTGCATTCAAAACATAATTTTAATGAAAGAAGAAACAAAATATACTCAATAAAAGTGTGTTTGCATTTGTAAACAATTTAAAATGTTTCTGCTTGATGAAATCTTCAGATTATTGATAATTCTAACAAAATAAAAAATTCTTTTCTATAATATAGGGACCTGACCTGATTTTCTTACAAACCAAAACTTACACACTAATGAATCATAACAATGCATCAACATTCAAACTATTTCAACAAGTAGCATCAATATTTTACCCTATTAACAATCATTAGTAAGTGGTGTGAATTCACGTTTCATACATGCAAATCAGCACAATCATACTTGTGATAACTGATGAGGATGACAATGTTTTCTATGTAAGCTGAACACATAGGTCATTAGAGATTTACTATGAGGAGATCCTGAGGGAATTCTAAACAATGGACACTTTCTGTATCCGGGGTATCCGGGGTTTGTGATTGACAGCCGAGTCCACTGTCTTGATGTCCTGATCCCCTCCAGGGTGGGGCTTACTGACAGGAGGTGGGGTGGCACTAGGTGTCCTCACTGGAGAGTCAGGAAACTGCTTCTTGTTTTCACTTGGTGAATGAAATGAATGTGAAACTGAAGTCTTGCCATTCTCTCCATTCAGAGCTACATGTTCCAGTTGCAGAAGACGGTCTGTGGTGTTACAGGAGGAATCGGCCGCCACATAGCGGACCTCCACCGTGTCCTGTTCTGGCGGGGTCTCACACCGCCTCCGCCGCATCTGTTCTGGAGTGAGTCGCCGCCGGTGATAAAGTCCACAGATTACCAACACAATGCAGAAAAACGATGATATAGAGGCTCCAATGGCTATGTGTAAAATGTCAAATTTAGAAACAGCTGGACCTGGAAAGAAACCAGAATAAACAAAAATATCAAGAAGAAAAATGCAGTATTTAATTAATATAGATTATTATAAATTCATATCATGGAATCAACATGCAAGTAATATGGTATTATAAAAATACTATTAATGATAAAAAAAATATAAGCATTAAACTATAGAACAGAAAGCACACAACTATATACACTCACCTCGACCAACACACACTATATACATGTAGTCTGATCCAAAATTTGAAGTAAACTACACACTGATATATTAATCACCGATGTTTTACCTGTTTAGTAAAGAATCTCCTTGGTATTGCAACTTAACCTTGTTTCTTTCGTTTCTATTTCTCCAATTTGATAAAGACACCTTAGTCATTTTCTTCTTAAAATATTTGATTATTTGTGATAAACCCTGTAGTATTTATGTTTACTTTATGTATACTTACATAGTTAAAAAAATAGCTGCATGTGCAAAGGGAGGAGAGGCTCCAAACTTGTGCATGCCCCCCCCCCCCTTTAATATTTTTTGTCACAATTAATTCACAATACTTAATTTTATTGCATTTGGATGATGATTTGAAAATTCTAAATATAGTGCTTATAGATGTGGTACAAGTGATTTAATAAGAAAGAAAGAAAGAAAAAAAGAACAAGGCTATATATCTCCAATATAATATAATAATTAAATCATAAAAAAATAATTCTCAAATCTTGTATGCAAAATGAATTAAAAATCAATGCATGCTTTAAATCCTAAATAGTTTTCTTTACACTAAAAACTTAATAAGTACAATTTAATCATGAAGAATTTACATTCAAACTAAATGATAACAATATTCTGACTTGAGGCACTACCGAGGTGAGTTGTATATATATATAAACATGTATAGATACTAAAAATTAAGTGTCAATAAGTGTAATAAAGAAAGTACTATATATAAATAATCTAAATCTACAGGCAGAAATTGAGGATCAGGAGTTATGATGTCAATTCGACCTATCTTCTCTTTTGCAGACCTTTTTTTCATCAAGGACGTTAAGGATAAAACAAAAATATACAGGAACAAATGCTTTCTCTCTAATAGGGAAGTGACAAAGTTGTGGTTGTAATTTGTCTTTGGATCACATAATCCATACTCTAAAGATTCATGGGATACATGTATAATCCTGTAGAATGTTAGGGAAAGAAAAACAAAGAACAACTGTCATCAAGTATTTTAAGTCTGTGTTGTCTGACAGAACTTAATCTGGTTCCATTGACTTACTTTCTCCAAGTTTCTAAACCTACGAATGCATGGATCTTAATCTATTTCATCTGTTAAATTATTGTTTAGGAGAAGAAAAAAACCCAGAATTTGTCAATGTCATTCATCTGTCTCAGAGAGGAGGTGAAGCCTTATTTCCAAGAATGATGGGGTTTAGTGCAAGGGGCCAGGAAGCTCAGATAAAGGCCTACATTTTTATAAACAAATTTAAATTTGTTTCCTTCAAACAAAATTCCTTTTGGGCAAGTTTTGTTAAGATTCATCCAGTACTTTGGGAGAATATTAATTGCAAGGCCCAGGGACCTAAACCCACTCTTCTCATAAATAATGCTGTCACTAGGTCAACAATTGAAGAGCTGCTAAATGAAAATAAGAGGCCCACAGGCCTTATAGGTCACCTGAGTATCATGACATAACTTTCCAACAATTGAATTAGGTTTGTGATTTAAACCAGAGGCCTCGAAATTCACAATTTTGAAAGAAGCACCATTGCAAATCACAACTGTACACTTTTAAAACATGTTTACTTTAATTCCAAGAGGCAGAGCTTAGGAACAAAGAAAATCCCATCCCACAGGAATCCCTGATCCTGTCATTTAATTACATTTGTATTTTGGAAAAGGTATTCTTCTTCATCAAAAATCTTTGATTCATACCAAAGAGCAGATTTTGAAGCATTAATTCAAGTGCAGTATATACTCATTAGAGCTCCTCCCCCTCACATGCAGTATCCCTGACCCATGAGCCATTTTTGAATTTAAAATCATTTTCACTATTTTCAAAGAGGCACCCCTCCTCACCATAACTATGTACTTAGATCATCGGCATAATACATGTACCTAGGAGCAGAGGAAAAGATTTTCAAATAACATTTCCAAAAATTTAACATTATCTCAGACCAGTAGCGTAAGCTTCTTGAGCCTTCAGCTCGGAAGAGCTAAGAGTGTGAAATGCACATTTAAATGAGTAGCATCTTTCATAAATGAAGCTCATTCACATTTTTAAATCTCATGTAAGCTACATTAGCAATAGCATTCAGTCATGGTCACATAAAAGTATAAAACATATTTCAAAGTATCAAATTATATAATCCCAATAAAATCATAAAAATCCAAACAGTTCATTACATCATATAATAATTATTTTCTCAAAGTTGGAGGGGTAATAGTAATGCAATTATGTGTGTTTTTGTTTGTGTGTGAGTTTGTCTTTGTACAAAACAGAAGTGATGTAATTTGCATTATCATCAATGTCAAATGCTGTCTCGATTCAAATATATGCTCTTTGTGAGGGGATACTCCACTTTGCTGTGCCCTATTAAATTATATATTCTTAGCCTCTACATAGTCTATGCAAATGGCTCAAATCACTACATCTTTTCACTGGAAACGAGGCTGTGATCACTGCAGTCTCTGTGTGTGTGCAACAGCAAAAGAAAAAATACCTAATAATCAATTATACATCTTTTATTGACCACTGTAAAGCACAGGTCAATATTGATACTTTACTGGTGAATATCAAACCAAATTCACCGGAGTCCATAATTGTATAAAACTTACTATTATAACAAGGATATATTTCAGAATGTCGATTTTTACAGTACTGTTATAATTTTGCAGAGTGCTTAATGAATTGCATACTTTGATTTCAGTATTTTTATGTTTTTTTTTCTTTTCGCAAAACTTAAAAAAATTGGTTTACTTGATTTATCATTTTACAGTAAAAGTATATTGTTAAGGAAGTCAGCAAGATTCCAATTTCACATGAGCAAGTCTATTTCCCGAGGCACAGGTGAGGGAGGTGGGCTGCTTCAGGGGAACTGGAATCTTGCAGACTTCCTTAACGATATACTTTAACTGTTTTATTATACCGATACCAAAATTAATCTATTTTCAAAACCCGTAAATGCAATTCTGTTTTATAAAATATATGCATATATGCAGCGCAATGGAAAAATTTACTTCTAAGAATGTATAGATCAAATAAATAATTTCCACAATTAAGAGGCCTTAATTTGCATTTGAATCAATGGTCTATCAAAAAAAAAAACATGTAAATGCAAGCAACTTTATTTCATAAACAATTTACACTACAACCATCTAGCTCCAATGCACATTAGTTGACCATGATGATGTCACTATAACACATTATTCTTTCCCATAAAATCAGACCCACTTCCTTATACTTAAGAAATGTTTTGTGTGAGTTATTGGTGTGTGAATCACACAGACTTGTCATGTAGGCATATTTCATGAAGCGTGCTAGCGCTTCATAAAAAAATATGCCTATATGCAAGTCTGTGTGATTCACACACCAATAATTCACACTAAACTTAAAAACATTCCTTAAATTTACATTTTACATGTTTGGAAGCACCAAAAATATACTCAATATTTGAATTTCTCGTTGCCCTATATCATTATACTTTTACTAAAGTCACTGTAGCCTAATTTTGACGCCTCGTTAACACACATTTCTCCGTGTACATTTCTACAAGTGAGTATACACAAAAATGGTTTTCAAATCAATTTCACAGTTGGCTTAGTAGAAAAACACACAAATGTAAATATATAATTTTAAACTGCATGAACATTATGAATATACATGTTTCTATTTGGAACACATCAGTACTTTACATATGATTTAAGGAAATTGCTAGGTGTTCCGAATAAATGTGTATCAGTTCATCAAACTGACACAACTTTTTGCAGGGAGTCAGTCTCTTTATGGCAATTTTCAGAAAATCAGTAAGATATATTAATATACTCTAAAACAGTGAAAAATCAGTAGAGGTATAATAAATTTTCCTGACTGATATTTGTTATTAAAGCATAGAAGTCAAACTTCAAGTCAGAATGTGTTAGTAGGACAAAGCAGTCAATATTATGCCAAATATTGAATTTATCAAACAAAATCAAACTTGGAAAACGATAAATCACTCTGCACTAAATGTATACTGATACCTGAGGAGGACTCCCCTCTTTTGGGGAACGGTGTTGGACCTAATAAAAATATATACAAGTTTTTATCCTACACTGAAACATATGGTGACTTAAGATTTTCTGATGTGAAGTAGGGTGTTGAAGAGTTTTATGTGAGAAATATAGATTGTTTCAATCAAGTCTTCTTTTTACATTGTTTTAGAAGTAATTAATTTTGCATTTATATAGAATACCAAACATGCCACATGTCTTTATAAACATTAAATAAACTTGATTTTTTCCCCCTCAAAACTACAAGAATTTTATCGTATACTGAAACGCAAAAAAATGCAACATCCTATTTTAGGGGAAAATATTATATACAGAACATAATTTTGTATCTAAAAAGTAAGGATATCTTCAACTTAATAAAAATAGGTAATTTATCAGTTGAATAATTCATCATACCATTACGAGAAGTTAAGTTTGAGTCCCATTAACAAAAATCAAAAATTTCATGTCTAACAAAACATTTGGCAATAAAATAGGGTTTTAAGGGATTGTATTTGTTCATCATAAGAAATACAGCAATCAATTCAAAAAATAATTTCTCGATCCTTTCTTTACTTGTATGCAATGAAAAGACTTCCTGAAAATGACTAATTAGTACACATTCCCATTGCTCTAGCTGGAAAATCTCAAAGTAAAGGTGATAAAGAGATGCAGATGCATACATGCACTTCATCATGCCTCAACAGGCTCTTAATATGTATTAGTAGCATGAATGACAGCTAGTATTTGGGGCAGAAGTCCAAGGGTTACTACACTGCGCTAGCCTACAGAAAATTTGACCTCATCAACTGAAAAACAGGTATTCAAAAATGGCAAATATTTCTTTCGCTTAGATCCCGAGATTGATGAACCTACTGCATTGGAGAAATCAAACTGCAATTGACGTGCATGGCAGAAATTGGATGGTCGGGAAAGGGGATGTTTTACACGTAACAGTCAAGTGTTACCTTCTAAATAAAAAAGATAATCATTTAACATATTTATCAAATCTCTGTAGATTTAAAATCCATCTTTACCTTAGCTGTGTTCATTTTTGAAAATCATTAGATAAAAAAATCTAATATTTGTAGATCATTGCTTGTTGCATTTCTTTTGCTTTTCAGTATAAAAACTCCAGGACCTTTATTTTGGTAGAGTTACTGTAAAAATGATTTCTGTCATGATGATCAAGGACCATGCATGATCTTAATAATAAAACTACACTAGGCATATCATAAATTTTTGACAATATGTAGCTCTTTATTCATCCTATTTTCTTCAAATATATATGTGTAAAACTAAAATCCTTTTGTAGATTTTTTCCTTGCCAAAAAAAAGGGCAACAGTCTAAACAAATTGGCTTTTTCACCACATCCCAATAATCTATGTGAAAATGCTTATGTATAAAGTGGAAATCTGTTAACTAGCAAAAAAGGATTCAGAGTATTTTTTTTACTTCTTTCTTTGGTTAATTGTAAACCTTTTTTCTGGACCAAGCCCTGTCCTTACGGATATCTTATGTTGACAAACTTGAACCATTAATACTAATGCTTTGACTTTCTGTAACCCTGACTATTTCAGATTAAAAAAAATATGCTAAACAGTTTTAATTGAAGTATGTAATCCTTTGTAGAGCCAACCTGCTTGCCAAAGGATCAATAAACTAGGGTTTAATGCAAAACAAGAGGCCCATGGGCCACATCACTCACCTGAGCAATGTGGCTAGGAAAAAAGCATAAATCAGTTTATTATTGAAAAGTTGAAAGCCAATACTGGTCCCAAACAATCCTTAAAATGGAGAGGGTATGATATGAACAACCTTGAATCAACACTAACTAAGGATGCTTGTATATTTCTTTGACTACCTGTGGCTTTATTGCCCTTTACATTTGAACTTACATTGTGGCCCCGCCCTACCCCCGGGGGTCATGACTTGAACAAAATTGAATCTACACTACCTGAGAATGCTTCCATATGAATAGGACTAATCATGGCTTTGCTATTTTTGAAAAGAAGATTTTTAAAGATTTTTTCTACATGTTTCTATGTTAAACTGGGATTCCATGTTGTGGCCCCGCCATAGCGCCAGGGGTCATAATTTGCACAAACTTGAATTTCCACTTCTTGAGGATGCTTCCATAAAAATATGATCATTCATGCCTTTGCTATTCCAGAGCAGAAGACTTTAAAGGAATTTTCCTACATATTTCTATGTGAAACTTTGATCGGCCATCGGGGGTCATAATTTGAAGAAATTTGAATCTACACTATCTGAGGATGCTTCCCTATAAGTTTCATATTTCCTGGCACAGTGGTTCTTGAAAAGAAGATATTTAAAGAATTTTCCTATATATTTCTATGTAAAACTTTGATCGGCCATTGTGGCCCTGCCCTACCCCCTGGGGGTCATGATTGGAACAAACTTGAATCTGCACTACCTGAGAATGCTTCCCTATAAGTTTCATCTTTCCTGGCACAGTGGTTCTTGAGAAGAAGATTTTTAAAACATACCATCAAATTTTCACTATTTCTAAATTATCTCCCCTTGAATAAGGGCATGGTCGTTCATTTGAATAAATTTGAATCCCCTTCACCTAAGGATACTTTGTACCAAATTTGGTTGAAATTGGCACAGTGGTTCTAGAGATTAAGTCGAAAATGTGAAATTAAAGTTAAGGACGACAACGACAGACAACGGCCTTCAGCTCAGGTGAGCTAAAAAAAAAGTCTAGACCCATTTTCCTTTTCTTAGGGGCTTGAGTGAAAAAAAATATCTAAAAGTAATTAATTAACATGACCTTGCATATTTGAATTTGTATCTTAATGAAAATATGTATAAAAATTCATTAATTACAGATAGACAGATAAAAACAAGTCTATTAGAATCTAAAAAAAACTTGACTGGGCTTTCATCTCACACACATTTTTCAAGATATCTGTTAATACATTTAATATGTAGAGAGTTCTGTTTTTTTTTTTTTTGGAAAGGAGGGTTGGGGTTGGGGTTGGGTGTGTGTGTTAGAACAAATAACTGCCTGCAAGATTCTCCTGTATCACTATTTATTTCAGCTGATCAGGTTTATTTCATGTTATTTGCAATACATGTATAGGCAAAGCAAATAAACTGTATGAAATTGTTTTAAAATCCTGCATTTTAGTTTGAAGTCCAGAATCTCCTCTTTCAAAACATGTATATAGACAAATCATGTCCATATTAAAACTTGTCAGGAAGAATATTTCATTACCAAAATAAGATTAATGTAACATACATATACCTATATGAGTTAATTTTGAATTAAAAAAGAATGTGTTCTATACACAATTATTCATGCTTTGCTACGTATTTCACAAAATGAAACAAATCCATGTTAAGATAAGGGGAGAACAATCCGATCTATTTAGAATAGTTTGACTTACAGCCCTCTTCTTCATCTGAGTTATCTCCACTCCCACAGTTAGGCACCTGGTTACATGCTAGTTCAGTGTGAATGCAGTACTCACTTTTTGAGCATCGGAAGAAATCACAGCTGACTGTAGATAAAGAAAAGTCAAAATTTTTAATATGCAATAACTAAAGGTACAATATACATGGAACAAAATACTGACATAAATACTTCCAAAAACTCTGCAATACATTGCTTTTGTGCCAGGTCATTTTGATGAAATCAAATTCTTAGTTTTAAGATGATAAAAGGTACTTTCCTATATACACAAAATTCAAATTTCTTCTCTTTCATTATTTTTGCTACAGTGTATCTCTGCTCAGAATGTGAATCTTAACTGTTGTCCACATTAACTTATCTAGAGGTTAAAAAAGTTTTAATAACTTTTCATAAAACAGTTACGTGTTGGCATCTAGAAGTCAATATCTTCAATGTTTAGAGTATGTTAAAGCGAGTTGAAAGTCCAAGTCCCCTTTTTGTTTACATATATAAACCTCAATATCTGAAATCAATGGTTATCTACTTATCTCAAAGGGTTTTGATTTCCTGGCAGCTGCTCCAAGTCGCTCTTAAAATTTTGATTTTAAAACATTTTTTTAACACAAATGTATTAATGTTAAGAAAGAATCATACAGCTGTTCCTATATTCATATAACACTATGAAAATGCATAAAAATACAAGCAATCAACATTTTATCAGGAAGAAGTTTACTGACAGTAAGCGTGGAGGAAGGTATTCTGTTAACCCTATATCCTTTGTGTTTGAAATTTAAGGTGATCTTACAACAATCACGTTACACAAATTTCATATTGTATTTTCCATTAAAAACTAGAATAAAGTGCCCCGCCACAGCATGATACGCCCGTCAAATATATTGTTCAATAATCATAAATTGATTAAGGTGCAAGAAAATCAGATAAGCTTGATTAACAGATTGACACAGATTTCAATGATCTAATTTCCATTTCTTATCATGTTAAAAATATTGTACATATATCTATAAGAGACTTAAAGTGTAGGGATTAATTATAACAAATAATACATCATATAATTCTAAACTGGCTGTGCTAGAACTTAACAAATATCCATCTGCAGCTTTAAATTGTTTATTGCATATTTTATGGAATAAGGGAAATGCTACAGTCTAATAAAAAAATCAAAAATAAATTATTCTTTAGACTATAAAATTCTAAGTGAGATATGACTGCAATTTGTTGCAAATAAATAACAAGAGGCCCAAGGGCCTTATAGGTCACCTGAGTATCATGTAACAACTTTCAAACAATGGAATTTGGTTTGTGTTTTAAACCAGAGGCCATAAAATTCACAATTTTGAAGGAGGCACTGTTGCTTATTATAATTATACACTTAACATGCTTACTCTAGTTACTTAATACCCAAAGGTAGATCAGAATAACAAAGAGAAAAGGCATTTCCACTTTGTAACCAGTTGTGCACCCCACCCCAAAGGAACCACATATTTCAAAATTTTGGAAATTTTATCATAAATTTTATTTCATCAGAAATTATTTATTAATACCAAAGAGCAGATTTAAAGCATTAATTTATTTTTCAGACTAGGTAATAACCCCCCCCCCCCCCCCCCCCCGGCCCCCCGATCCGGGGGCATGGAATTAACCATTTTGCTAGATGCACCTTTCTTCATCATAAATATATATACTTAGATCATAGGCACAATACCCAGGAGCAAAGAAAAATATTTTCAAAAAATTCATGCATTTTCACTATATAATCATTAGAACCCCGCCCTAACACCAGAACACCTGACCCAGGGGTCATGAAATTGACAATTTTGGAAGAGATAACCTTCCTAATCATAAATATGTTCATACTTCATTGGTTTAATACCCAGGAACAGTGAAGAAGATTTTTAAAGAATCAATGTATTTTTACTACAATGTATATACAGTGGAGCCTCATTTATCCGGACGCTTTTGTCCTAGTCAATTTGTCCGGATATGTAAAGCGTCCGGATATCTGAATTACCAGTTAAACAAGAACAAATAACATTAAAAAAAATCTGTTCCCAGGAAAAGTCGTCCGGATACTGAAGCATCCGGATATCTGGCGTCCGGATATCTGACGGTTCACTGTAATCAATAGAGCCCCACCCTAACACCAGAAACCCCAACCGAGGGGTCATAATATTCACAAGTTTGGTAGAAACACTCTTGCTCATCATAACAATATTCTAAGTTAGTTTGTTTAATACCCAGGAGCAAAGAAGAAGATTTTTGAAGAATTAATGTATTTTCACTATACAATCAATAGAGCCCCAACCTAACACCAGAGCCCCTGACCCAGGGGCCATGAAATTCACAATTTTTTAAGAGACACTCTTGGTCATCATAACTATGTTCTTAGTTAGTTTATTTAATACCCAGGAGCAGAGAAGAAGATTTTCAAAGAAATAATGCAATTTTACTATATGATCTATATAGCCCCGCCCTAACACCAGAACCCCTGACCCAGGGGCCATGAAATTCACAATTTTGAAGACGAACTCTTGATCATCATTACTATGTACTTGGTTAGTTTGTTTAATACCCAGAAGCAGAGAGGAAGATTTTCAAAGAAATAATGCACTTTTACTACATGATCTATATAACTCCACTCTATCACCAGAACCCCTGACCCAGGGGCCATAAATATCACAATTTGGTAGAGGACTCAATGTTGATTACAATCATGTCAACAGTTTGACTGCTTGGTGTCCAGGAGTAAAGAAGAGGATTTTTAAAAATTGCACTACTTTTAGTGGTTTTGGCCCCACCCCTCAGGCCCCAGGGGGGCAGGGACCATGAAATTCACAATTTTTGTTCCCCTTCACCCATAGATGCTGTTTACCAAATTTGGTTGAAATTGGTTCAGTGGTTCCAGAGAAGAAGCTAAAATGTTCAAAAGTTTACGAACGACGTACGACGACAGATGAAAACGGATAGCAATTAAAAATTGAAATGTAATTTTTTTTTCAATGAACACATGTATAATTAGTTTTAATTATATTATACAATACTAATTTAGTTTTAATCATACACTAAAACATGAATTTGTTTCAATTACATTACACCAATTGAAATCTTTATCTGGACTATAGCCATCAAGAACTCTTAATTAACACAAGCAACTATGAGGCCATTTCTTTTTGCCCAACTCCCAAGAGATAAATTAAGATAACAGCTGCATGATCAGAGATGCTCTTAGACTACCAGATAGCTCCTGACAATAAACTCATTAATTTCTCTCTAATTTGACATGCAAATTTCTGCTATCAAAATTCTTCTTGACAAGTGCTTGATAATTATGTCCATGGGACAAACTGAATTCCTCTCTAAACATTAACATTTGTTACAGATTGCTGTAAAGTATATGATGAAAAAATAAGTTTTTTACTTGATTTAAAATTTTTAAATAAGGATACATCTATGTTTTCACATTTTTTAGGATTATGAAATTCAAAATATTAAAGACTTAGTTTTTTTTTTTAAAATTCACTTGAATTAAAGGTCACAGTGACCTTGAAATAGGCCGCGACACACCTTCAACATAAGATGTATAATTTTGCCAAATTTGAAAGCTCTAGGTCTAATAGTTTTCTAGATATGAGCATATTAAAGACTTAGTTTTTTTTTTTTAAATTCACTTAAATTAAAGGTCACAGTGACCCTGAAATAGGCCGTGACACATCTTCAACCTAAGATGTATAATTTTGCCAAATTTGAAAGCTCCAGGTCTAATAGTTTTCTAGATATGAGCCGGACAGGATTTTTTCATATTTGGCCATAGCATCGTTATTAAAGGTCAGAGCAACCTACTTTTTGTGCGCGACACATCGTCTACCCAAGAAGTATCAACTGTCAAAGTTTGATAATCCTAAGTCTAATAGTATTCAAGTTATGAGCCAGACACGAATGGACAGACGGACGGACGGACATGAAGCCTATAACATAATATGGACGGTTTTAAGACGGGCGTATAAAAATACAACATAATTATGTCTTCATTTTGAAATATTTCAAAATAGGAATGTAATATTATACAAAACCAGAAGTCTCTGTGGAGACTGAAGCTCTACTGGTTTGTACTTCAGGAAAGGAAGAGAAAAGTTGGGAACTGAAACTTTACCACAGCAATAAAAAGAATAATGATCCTTGATTAAGTCTCTTTATGTTCTTAGTGTAGTCTACTTGCATGCCACATTATATTATAATCAGACTTAAACTGTATTTGGAGTAGAATTTTGAGAGTTTTTAACAGAAATTTCTATTTTTAGTAACAACGGCAACACCGTTCATTGAAATCTAAAACCGATACACAGAATTATGTATTTTAGTGTAGTCTACTTGTGTGCCAATTTATATTGAAATCAGACCAAAACTGTAGGAGGAGTAGCATTTTGAAAGAATTTCACGGAAATTTCTATTTTTAGTAACAACGGCAACACCATTCATCGAAATCAAAAACTGATACACAGAATTATGTATCTTAGTGTAGTGTACTTGTGTGCCAAGTTATATTGGAATCAGACCAAAACTGTAGGAGGAGTAGCATTTTGAAAGAATTTCACAGAAATTTCTATTTTTAGTAACAACGGCAACACCGTTCATGGAAATCAAAAACCGATATACAGAATAATGTATCTTAGTGTAGTGTACTTGTGTGCCAAGTTATATTGAAATCAGGCGAAAGCTGTAGTAGGAGTAGCATTTTGAAAGAATTTCACAGAAATTTCTATTTTTAGTAACAACGGCAACACCGTTCATGGAAATCAAAAACCGATACACAGAATTATGTATCTTAGTGTAGTGTACTTGTGTGCCAAGATATATTGAAATCAGACCATAACTGTAGGAGGAGTAGCATTTTGAAAGAATTTCACAGAAATTTCTATTTTTAGTAACAATGGCAACATCGTTCATCGAAATCAAAAACCGATACACAGAATTATGTATCTTAGTTTAGTCTACTTGTGTGCCAAGTTATATTGAAATCGGACCAAAACTGTAGGAGGAGTAGCATTTTGAAAAATTGTTTACAGACAGACAGACAGACGGACGGACGACGGA